GTGAGGCTAGTTAAGGGAGGAGGATAGGATAATAAAGAAACCACATAGATACTTAAGAACAATGGATACCCAAACTCGAAAAGACGACCCTTTCACATTTTCGGTGAGTTTGGTTAATCTTTTGTTGGGACAATTATAAACATTACACCAATTCACATTTCCTCAAACAAAAAAAAATTCTTTTATCTGTTGTGACACAACGATCGGAATGACACCTAAAATATAAGCCGAAACCGTTCAATAGGAACGAAAATATGATCACAAAAAAAAATAAAAAAATTTTTTATTTAATGTTAACTCGTGAAATTTGATTGGATAATTCTGTAATTACGTAGGACTTTCAGTGTATTTAACGATGGATTGGTTTGGCTAAATTTACATATAAAATGATAGGATTGTTGTCGTCAGATGCTTTAAAGATAAAATCTAAAAAAAATTTTTCTTTTTAAAAAAAAAGGAATGGTTTTATCGAAGCATGACTGAATTAGACTTTTTAGACTAGAAAAAAAAAATTATGACACATGTTTATTTGTGTATTCTTCTTTTTTGTGTCTACCAATCTATGTATAAAGCTAAAAAAAAAAAAAAAAGGAAACTTTCTACTCGCTCTTAAACGAAAGTATAATGGAGCAACAAATATGAAATCGTTCGTGATATCGGCTCAGGACTCAATTGGAAATACAGGGGATTTGTTGCCCTTCTGGAACGAATACACACAGGAAGAATCGAGGAAGTGGTGGTTACCCGACCGAAAATTAGATTTTAATTTTTATTTGTTTTTATTTTTTGTTTTTATTATTTTACTAACTTTTTTATTAGGACTGATTGTGTTTTTTCGGATCCCGAGCTTGTGGAATGGATCTTTGAGAACTTTAAAAATGATACAAACTTAATTGGGTTATAGAAACTCCTTATGATATACGAGATGAAGCTATGAATGACTTGTTTAAAGGATATTCTTCCAACTTTGCTATAAATCATAAAAAATTCAAGAAGTAGTTTCGTTATAAAAAGGATTCTCAACAATCAATTTCAATACTTACTAAACATTGGACAAGTCTCGTGGTGAATACGCATTTCTTCACAAAATCAAGTCCAAATCAACTTGAATTTGATAGTACTCTTGGTGTAATCGCCTTGGAGAATTTTACCTTTGCATACCTAAACCACTCGAAATATGGACCGAAAACTAAGGTCCTTTATTTTAGGGATGCAAGAAAAGGTTTAAATAATTTTATATTTTATATCATTATACAATAATATAGAATAAAAACTTTAATAAAATTAATTTAATCATTTAATTAATAATTTAATAGGAAGGAGTAATTGCTCTGGACCCAGGCGTGCGTACATTCATGACTGGTTATTATCCAAGTGGAAAAGCTATTGAATGGGGTAAAAATGATATTAATAGAATTTATCGGCTTTTCCAGACGTATGACAAAATCCAAAGCAAGCATGACTCTATTCATGGAAAAGCACATAAACGAAAAAGATGCAAGCTTCACAAGGTCATGCTTCTTATACATTAAAATCTGTTGTCTTATTAATGATTGCCACCATAAACTTGCCAAATGGTTGTGTCAAAATTATCGTATTATTTTGTTGCCTGAGTTAAGGCACAGGGAATGTTTATGCGTGGAAAACGGCGAATTCGTTTTAAGACTGCACGGATGATGTTAACATGGTCTCATTTCCGATTCCGCCAATATCTTTTACATAAAGTTCGTGAGCATCCATGGTGTCAGGCAATTGTATGTACTGAAGAATATACTAGTAAGACATGTGGGTGCTGTGGTCATATCCATCGAAAATTGGGTGGATCCAAAGTGTTCCGTTGCCCCCAGTTGTGCAGCTGAGCTTGATCGGGATATCAATGGTGCTCGAAATATATTACTTAGCTATCTCAACCTGCTACATCCTGGAATCTTGATGATCCTTGCAGAACATGTATATTTCCTTATTGGTCATGATCAGAAATGTGAGGTTTGATAAGGAATGTATAAGTTTAATTGTAGGCGTGGCGTTAAATACAATTCTCATAAGCAGAATTGAAAATAAAAATAATTCCTATCATTTTTACGGTACCGAATATAATATTGTCCTTTTTGGTAGAGGAAAAATTTTTTCTTGGCGAATGAACATACAGTATTCTTTTGATGGCAGGATACATCAAAACGTCAAAATTTCCGAAGGAGGAATAAAATGTGTTGGTTTTTTTATTAATTTAATGGAACATTTTTCTTCATTTTATGACAGTAGTATAAGCGACTCTAAGTTGTCTTGCATCAATTTTGGTTGGATAAGCCTACAAATGTCAATAAATTAAATTTTTTTTTTTTATATTTATAAAAAAGTAAATTTCTTAACTTACCGATATCTTTTTGATTAGAAAATATTGATAATATAACAGCATTTGCCGATTCAAAAATGTACTTATCATCGTTCCTCAATAA